AGTTTGTGTTGAGTTTGTGTTGAGTTTGTGTTGAGTTTGTGTTGAGTTTGTGTTGAGTTTGTGTTGAGTTTGTGTTGAGTTTGTGTGCATGGAGGGGATTAAGGAGAGGCTCGGGAGGGAGGTGGAACCAAAGCAAAGAGTGTTTTTTCCTGCACTTTCTCCAGCTGACATCTGTAAAGCAGAGCAAAGTCACAAGAGCTTTGTCACCTTCACAGAAATGCAAAAATAGGTCATGTAGACTATGRGTTACATCTTAGAAGGGCCAATGGACAAAGAAGTGATAGGCCAACTTTTGCATTGATTGATGTGTAAATTGGAAGAGAAATGTTCACCAGAAGGACCTGTCGGGTGTACATTTGATAAGAATAGTTTGCAGTGTCAAGGGAGTAATTTGTTTGAGCTTATGCAGTTAAGACTAGAGGAGTACAAGGGTCAGATGTGCAAAAAAACTTAAAGTCTGAAACTGATGTGAATCTGTCTGAAGCCATTTCCCCTTGTATTTATAGAATCTAGCAGGGCAGGTCATTTGTGTATAGAAAATTATGTTGGTGRTTTCTTTTTTACCGTGATGTCTAACTGTCTCTGAGCACAGATGCTAGTAAAAGCCCCTAATTATTGCAAGTGGAGTATGTGTAAATATGATCTGGGGTTAAGTGTCATTGGGTTTTTTCCAAGCGTGGTTGACTAGAGTGGGGCTTTTTTTAATTGTGTTCAATTCGTCATTGTTTGGGAAACAGTGATATTCTTGTATTTAAGAGGGTTAGTCAAATGGTTATGGAATGGTTTTTAGATATTTTTGTTCAGAAAGGTTTTGATAGTTTCATTACAATTGTGCCTGGGGAAACAGTTTTTCTTTTTTTTTTTTTTATTTTTTATTTTAATGTGTTTTGTGCTTTGACAAATCAGCCCAAGCACAATTAACTCTTCTGTGATTTCTCAGGGCTTGTGAATGTGCACATTTCAGTCTGCATTACTCTGAACTAGCATCGCCCTTCCCTACTAAATTGCTGCCGATTCATGTCCTTTGTATATGGAGATGTTTCTTAAGAAGTTTCTTAACAGTGAGGGTGACAGAGCCCTGGCACAGGCTGCCCAGGGAGCTTGTGGAGGCTCCTTCTCTGGAGATCTTCCAAAYCCACCTGGATGCAGCCCTGTGCCACGTTCTCTGACCCTGCATGTGTAGCGGGGTTGGACTAGATGACYTCTGAAGGTCCCTTCCAACCTTAAGGATTCTATGCTTCTGTGTTTCGCCTGTCATGGAAATTCAGCCACTTGTGATGTTCTCTGACATTCCCTTATCCTTTCATAGAAGAATAATTAGATCTTGACATAGTCACGTAACAGMCTAAATCTCAGATCCTCCTGGGCTGTCCCTGTTGGGGACAGACCTCGCAGTTATTTGTTTTCCAGTAGCTTAATGTCCAAAATTTTGTACTAAGCATGGATTCTACAAGAGACCATGCATCCCATCTAGCCTTCAACCAGCATTTGTTCTTCCTTTGTGTGAAGATTGAYGTGTCCTAGGGAATGCCTGGCCACAGAACACCCCAGTGCTGATCATTTTATTTACCGCTTCCTTACAGGTTTCCCATATTTATCTTTACTAATCTCCCAGTTCTTAAGCTACACGATGCCCTGCAATTTACATTAAGGTTGTGATGAAGGAAGTGGTAGAGCCAGAAGGGTAATGTTGCTCCTAGAATGGTTATCATTTTGTTTCCAAAGGATTTGGAAGCATAAAGCTCCAGCTRTAGTCTCAGGAAAAGAGTTTGTCAGGCTGCTTGGGACCGAGTTCACCACAATTAGTTTTAGGCAGAGAAGTATTTGGCAGAGAAGGCCTTTTGGACCTGCTTCTAGAGCCATTGAGGCTCTGGAGGAGAGAAGGTCCCTCAGAAATTGGAACACTTAATCTGGGCTTCCAGTTCAGGTTGAGCAGAGGACTGTTTAAGTCTAAGCTTTGTCTAAATCTCCACGATTTAGACAAAATTGGAAATTTTGAGGAAAATTCTTAATGGGTAAAACAAGTCAATCACAAGAAAGACGTGTTAGCCTACACACTGTCTGGATTTCAGCAAAATCTTCTCAAGGAAACAGGGCCAAAGGGCTGCTGCTGTCCAGAGAGCAGGAGACTACTCGGTCTACTCTGGAGGCTTCAAGACTCCTGGCATTTTCTGTTCGCCACCTCTGTCCCTTTCAAGCCAACAGACCTTAGGGTCTTTGCTCTGACAACCATTTAGTGTCGCATTTGCATCAGCAAAATGCCTTGTTAAGAAGAAAGGTCAAAAGCTGTCTCTGTCCTTCCCCCAAAGGAGTCGAACGTGCTTCTTAAGCAAAGGGGCTGTACCTTCATGTCCAGTTCATGCCTTACAGAAGTGCTRGTAGATTTGTATTTAATGCACGTTTTGGGAAAGATGCGAGTATTTTATTTCCAATAAGTACTCTGTTATGTGATGAATTAACATCTTGGTTTGTCAACTTCCTTCCCTTTAAGACAGGACAGTGAGGCTGGCTCCTCACTCAAAACAAAGAAACAGGTGGGCTGTGTTTCTGTTTTCTCCTACTGGCAAAACCTACAAGCAGATAATACCTTCAACTGGTTGCTCAGCCRATTATGCAGCCTGCTAATGTATCATGAAATGAGTTAGCAGAAACAGTGCTGTGTTCTTGACTGTAAGGTTTGCCTTTGGATGGGAGGATGAAGGAAATAAGTTTCTCCATTTTAGGTACCACTCTATTGTCTATCTTGGTATGTACAGTGTAACCTTGAATCCCTATTGGTGCTCTTAGGCTTGAAATACAGAGTAGGAAGAAACAGGAAAATGCACTGCACATGGTTTCCCAACGGTTTTCCTTTTCAGTGCCTTTATTTCATTTCCCTTCGCCACGTTTGTCCATGCACACTCAAAAGCAAGTTGCACCCACCCTGCATGCTCAAGGTGCAGAGCATGGGCAGCACCATCCCTCATCCCCAGCATAGTCCACTTGGCACTTCCACCCATAGCTGTCCCACGTGGAGGAGAAATTGCTGACCCTGCCACCTGGCATCTTAATCCTTCGGGTATTTCTTTCTTTCCATATTGTAAAATCAAAATCATCCTTTGTCTTTTAGCAAGCCTGGCAGACTGACAGTTGCTCGAGGTAGCAGCAGCCATCGAATGCCAGGCTGAACGCTGCCCTGTGTGCTCTTAGGCGACGTCTCTAAATCCAGATGAGCCATTTCAGTGGCACCGTGCCACCAGGGAGCGAGAGCAGATGGGGGCTAATCCCTTCTGCAGCTCCTGGAGTCCCTAGCAGCAGAAGGGATAACATTCTGCTTCTGGCTATTTCCTTGCTCATTATTAATATTACTACTAGTAGTACTAGTAGTAAGAGTAGAATTAGAATTATTTGCTGAGTCTCAAAATATAAATAATTGATTTAGGTAATCTCTGCTCTTGTGACACTCCTTTAATGAAATGTCTTCATTGGGAGCAAAAGAATCCCATTATGAGACATTCATTCATTGCACAGCGATAACAAGGAGAAGGATATGTGATTTGTATAATCTGGTTAAATGGCTCAGATTGCCTAGCCGTAGCCTCCTGGGTATAATATTCGTTTGAATAAAAGTTGATTGAATTTTTTTTTAACTAATCTTATTCTTTTGTTAGAGCCACAAGCAACCTGCTGCCTTTATTGTAACCCAGCACCCTCTGCCCAACACCATAGCAGACTTCTGGAGGCTGGTCTTTGATTATAACTGCTCCTCCGTCGTGATGCTGAATGAGATGGATGCAGCACAGGTACATGATTTTCTTACCATTTTTTCATGTGACTTTCTTCTCAAATACATTTTCTTGAGGATTTAAAAAGAAAAAAAAAAAAAAAAGAAAGGACCATTGGGGAACTGGAAAGGGCTAAATAACATTTTAGGGTACAGTGAAGGCTGAAAGCTGGGTCCACAAATAAATTAAGATCCTTGGCTCTCACTAAGGCAACTCATTTTCATAGCAGTTAGCAGAGATTTTATATGTATGTATGTGCAGGCCTATGACTCCCTCTCAAACCTGCTTTCTCCTTTTTCTTATTTTCCTTTGATTGAAAAAAATGTTATTCCTTACCCATAATGTCAGTGTCTTTGCTTGGCCTTCATTTTCTGAGATCCCAGCTATAACTGCAACAGTGCAGTCAGCGTGCCGGTTCCCATGGTGTTCCAGAAGAATGGAAGCAAGAGAGATACTGTAACTGTATTGAAGGAACTTGAGAGCTTCTCAATGGAATTAAATAGGCTAGAGAAGTGAAGTTAGTTGCTGTAGTTTCTGGAGAAGCACGTGATGCCATGGAGGTTTTTTTRTTTGTTTGTTTGTTTTTCTTTCTGGAGTCGTGATAGTTGCATTCTTATCAAACATAATGTTATTTCAGAAGTAGGTCTTGCTGGATGAGGACTAGCTCCCATTCCTTCTGTATGAGAATTTGCAGCCACCTTGCTGATGAGTGGCAGAAGATCACAGCTTTCAAAAAAGTAATCATGCAATTTGTATAAAGAGAGTGTTTGGCATTGCTAATTCATCCATTACAGCACTCGTTAAGCAAGAGAAGAACCCTCGAGTACTTGGTACTTTATGGTTTAATTTTTCATGTGTCTCTTCGCTGCCTTCTGAATCTTGCTGTACTCAAAGGCAGCAAGATTATTGGGAGCTCTTTGTGACAATAAAGGAGAAACCAGTCGTGCTTTCATTGAGGGGATCTCTGTGCGAGGTGAGAGCTGTGGGATTTCGTTTCATCGTGGAGCTGAACTGCCGCCTTCCAATCTTTCTGCCATGGGCTGTCGTGGTGACAAGCACCCAAGTCCTGGGGTTCCATGCAAGAAACCAGGGGCCATGTATTTTGTACCATTGATCAKATTCTCCTAGGAAGCTTCTGAGTCTTGGCATTGAATCCAGAAGCAAATTTCATCTTTTCCTGATGCTTTAAAGAAATACACCTTCTGGAAACCAAACACAATTTCTCATGCTGTGAGCATGCTTTGAGCACAGCTTGCTCAGGGAGRCTGTGGAGTCTCCTTCTCTGGAGATCTTCCAAACCYGCSTGGATGCCGCCCTGTGCCCCCTGCTCTGGGTGTCCCYGCTGGAGCAGAGGAGTTGGACTAGATGAACTCTAGAGGTCCTTTCCAACCTTAACAATTCTGTGATGCTTTCCTTGGAAAACAGTTTGATACCAGCTATGAAAGCAAGGCTTCTGGACAGGAAACCCGACTGTCTTATGACTCAATTATCACTCTATGCCAACATCATCATTATTTACCTATTCATCTAATGTGAGCGCTATGCCATGATCATTACCAAAGTGTCAGTCCACAGTTGCATGCAAATATTATCCTAGTGCACTCAAGTAGTGTGTTCCACCCATGTGGATGCAGAGAATGGGCTTGAAAACACAATCACAAGAAGTGCTTTCACATCCAGCTATGGCTGAAATGAAGAATTGAATTAAATAGATGAGTAAACCTGTAATCTACTCTGCAGTAAAAAAAAAAAAAAAAAAAAAAAAAANAAAAAAAAAAAAAAAAAAAAAAAAAGATAAAGTTCAAGTAGAATCATTTAGAGTTCAGAGAACAGACCACTTAGGCACTGTGTAAAAGCCTGCATATGGATAGATGGATGTTCACAGACCTTCTTTATGGAAAGCAGATTTGTAATATTAGGACAGATCCTTCTCTTTCTGATGTGCTTTGAGATGGTTTCCTAAAGCATCTGCACTGCTCGGATACCCTTACCTGTTGGAGAAATGCTTTGAAAGGAGACCCATAGGCTGCTTGACAGTCTGAGTGAGGAGTAAAGAAGCCTTCAAAGGAAGACTTGCTTACATGGTCTTGGCTTACTTTTTAATCTTGCAAAGCTAACAAGGGTAAAGATGCATAAGATTGCATGACTATCCCAAATTTAATCCTGTGTGATCAAAGGAATAATGGGGATGCAGAATTAATGCAGTGGCATGCACACACTTGGTGTCATTACTGACAATGATTGAACTTGAATAGCTTGAGATCAAGTTCAAATGAGCATCTGGGGGTTTCAAAGCTTCTTAAAAATTACACTTGAAAATAGGAAGAAGAAAGCGCGAAGAAATACAATCTCAGCAGAAACTACTAATGAGATCCCATTCTTTTTTTTCTTTCTTTTTCTTTTTTTTTTTCTTTTTTGCCACAATCTATTTCCAGATGGATTTCATATAATTGGATTGCAACCTGTGTGGTTAGAATTTTTAGTTTTTTTGGTTCAGCAACATCAGCATGAGCAAAGATTGTGCATTTAAAAAATAAAAATCCAGGATTGTTTGCAGATTTGACCTGGCTATAAATTTGAATGGAAAGAAGAGTTGCCATAAGGTTACTTGTTTGCAATTAATGTGCTCTCTCTTTCTTGTGGTATTTTCATCAGCTTTGCATGCAGTACTGGCCAGAGAAGACATCCTGCTGTTATGGCCCCATCCAAGTAGAGTTTGTTTCAGCAGACATTGATGAAGATATCATCAACCGGATATTCCGGATCTGCAACATGGCCAGGGTAAGAGCAGTGAAACAGGAGTTTGCTCATTTATTCTGTAAAATATTATTTTGGCTTGAATCTCTCACCTAGTAAAAGGTTTCCAGTGCAAAATATAGTAGCTACTTCCTTTAATTAACACTTAGTTACGTCAGTCTGCACCAGTAAGATACTTTTGACAGAAAGCAGAAAGTCTGTGCAGTTCAGTTATGCCATTACAGAATGAACCTTGTCGCGGATGATAGGAGTTGAAAATCTGCATTTAAATGGAATGCATTTTCCATGTGTATTTGAGAACCATTAATCACCTAGTAGCCAACGTAAAACCATCAATATTGTAGGAAATAAACTAGGATAATGTCAGCTGCTCTCCATCTGTCAACTACTGTGCAGGATTTTTACAGTAGCTTTGTCCCTGAAGATGGATGCAGAGTTTACTGGCTGGACTGGGATTCCCAGTCCAATGTTTCCCCATAAATAAGCCAATTCCATTTCTGTAAGCAGCTCCCTGTCTGCCTCCTGCAGCCCCGGGGTAGCTGAAATGGTTCTCACAAAGTTTATCTGCCCACCAGACCCAGGCAATGCAACTTAGGGGCTGCAATGCAAAGAATTTCAATAGAGGATTTTTTGCTCAATAGTTTTGCTCAGATTGATCAAATCGATTATACATCATTTCTTTTTTTTTTTTCTTTTTTTAACCAGAAGGGGAAACTGCCTCCAGAAATTAGATTTCCATCCCATGTAATGCATCAGGCTCTGATTGTGTGTTAGAGTCTGTGCAGTTCAGTTATGCCATTACAGAATGAACCTTGTCGTCCATTTACAAGAATGGAAAAATTAGATCCATATTCACCTTGACAGTGTCCCAAGGCAGCTGCCTGTGAGCCAGGGGCAGCTCCGACTATTGCAGCTAATCAGACTGAGCCTCTATGACCCCCACAGCGAAGACTTTTATCATCTGATAATATCATCTGAGGGTGATATTATAATATAATTGATAATATCAAAGGAGGGTGGCTGTGTGGCTCTGATTTTATCATCTTGAAAATGCTCTTTGTTTTAGCCCCAGGATGGATACCGCATCGTTCAGCACCTGCAGTACATTGGCTGGCCAGCATACAGGGACACCCCTCCTTCCAAACGCTCCCTCCTGAAGGTGGTCAGAAGGTTGGAGAAGTGGCAGGAGCAGTATGATGGCAGGGATGGACGCACTGTTGTCCACTGCCTGTAAGTCTACCTGGAAAATTCGTGTGACTTTGTGAGCTCTGTCTGCTGAGTGCTGAGTATAGAGCTGCAGATCTGGTAGGCTGCCAGGCTTCCGCTGGGGAAAATGAAGTTTAAATTACATTTGCAATACAATTCAAGCTGAATATTGTGCTACAGCCTCGCATCCTGACCCCAGAACTTACTAAGCATAATGAATAGCCAAAAAGACACYGTTGCTTTGTGTCGGGTAGAGGAGGACTTTAACCTCGCGCTTGCAGCCCAGACCTGCAGAAGCAGCAGTGCCAAGTGTCCAGCTCTGGTCACAGCAGGGCTCCTCATACTTGTGTGGCCAGCTCTGCAGTTCTGGGCCTGTCTGCTGTCACCAGGGATCAACCTGTCCCTTCCATCCCCATCTCATGCTGCTCTTCGTTTCTTCCATTACTCAGGCCTTGGCCAGCTTTACCTATTGCCTCTTTCCTTCTGCACCTAGGAATGGTGGGGGACGCAGCGGCACCTTCTGTGCCATCTGCAGCGTGTGTGAGATGATCCAACAGCAAAATATCATCGATGTGTTCCACATAGTGAAAACGTTGCGGAATAACAAATCCAACATGGTGGAGTCRCTGGTAAGCTTGGTTCTTGCACCTCATCCACCCACAGGGACAGCAACAGAGCTTGCTGGCTTAGCACTATTAGTCAAATCCAGTCTTGGTGTAATGCCCTCAGCATTAAAACCAGTCCTGTTCTTAGCACATAAAATGGATCCTTCTCTTCCTTCTACTCTTGAGATAAGGGGGTAGCRTCTCCCACATCCAGCTGCCTCCAGGAGGCCAAAGCTCCCGATTGCCTCCCTGAGACTATGGGGAGTCATCCGCAGTGCCCAGGGCTGAGTGCTCCTACATGCCTTGAAACTGGGATGGGAGAAGAGCCCGAACCCAGGGCCTCGCTCCCTGCAAGCGAAGAGATTAAACTGTCCTGAATTAGAGCATCTCAATTGATCAAACCGAGTTCCTGCCTCACAAGCAGCGCGTGTAGTGCAGGCATGAGGGAGATAACGAATGGCCCGCGTCATGCCTGCCTCTCTGGGTATTCCCCCTTACGTTGACTGTAAATCTTAGYTGTGTGCTTCCAGGATCCCGATGAAATACAATTAATGTGGGTCTGCCCCTGCCAAACGGGATAAATGAGGGAGAGGAGGGTGGTTGTGGGTGGCTTGTCGAGCGAGGCTCTGCAAGAGCGGACCTGTGTCCTCCTGCCACGACTTTCTGCTCTCTCTCTCTCCAGGAACAGTATAGATTCGTATACGAAGTTGCACTGGAATACTTGAGCTCCTTTTAAGCCGAGCGGAGGGCGAGGAGCCTCCGAAAGGCCCGAGCCCGTCTCAGACAGACGCTCTCTCCCCTCTGCCGTGCTTGAGGGCAGTGACACCGTGCGGGAAGGAGGAACTCTCCCGCGGGAGCCGGAGGCCGGCGCTGCGCAGGGCTCGGTGCCGCCGCGGGATGGGACGATGCCGTGTTGGCTGCCGCCTGCTTTCAGCCGGAGCCTCTGCCGCTTCCCCGACTGCACGAACCAGCCCGGGGAGGCGGGCTGGGGGACGGGACTTTCTAACCCCCGCTGACTTCTCTCCTCTTTCGGATTGTATCTTTGCTCTCCTCGCTACCGAGTGGAGATGGGATGGYGCCGCGAGGGAATTCTGTCTTTTAAATGTCTCCTTTTTAATGTATGGTTTTGCTCTCAAATCCCGGGCTTTAAATTTTGAATTTCATGCAGCAGTCATTTGGGGGAAAAAAAAAAGAGATATAGCCATAGGGGATATATGAAACTTTTCATTACAATTTGACTGCCTTCCCTGTTGGGGCAAATGGGGGAGATTCTCTTTTTTGCTTTGTTTYCTTTTTCCAAATTTAAAGGCCAACACACACACACAAAGCTGGAATTCTCTTCCTATATCCGATTCCTTTTAGCATGAAAATAGACAGCGGAAATGAGAAGCTGTTCATGTATTTGCTGCCTCGGCTTCTGCACAAATGTTTCCTCCCAGTTTCTGCTAGACTCCCAAGGCTGTGCGCAGGCTGGTTACATCTCTTGTTCCATATTCTTTCCAGTGCTCACAAAGCATTGTCATTAAAAGACTTTCACAGCCATTTAACCTCTTAAAAGTAAACATTTGCATCAAACCAATTTCATTTGGCTTGCAACTTCGGGTAACTTTGTTACCGTATTTTTGAAGAATTTGCTGGGGTGCAGTGTGTCTTTAAAAAAGACAGGGTATAAAGTTAGTATTTATTGGTTGTATATTACATACAGTTATTTTTTATTTATTCTTTGTATTGCTGTAGAACTTAGGAGGCCTAGTCACTACAGAAGCCAATTGAACTAGGGCATTGTGCAAAGAACAAAAGAAGTTTGTGGTCACAGAGCTTAAAATCTGAGGGTAATCTTAGAATTGTGTTTCATCATGGWTTCTTCACTCTTTCCAAACTGTTGTACTGGCAGATATAACTGAGCAATTTATCCAGATTTCCAAGCCCTGCAAACTTAAAAGCAGTAACCCATCCAAGCTGTAGGAAAGGCRATGTACGTACACAGAAATCTATAGTGACATGCGTTAAGAAATGCATTAGACCAGCACAGCAACTTTCCATCTTAAGCAAAACAGCTTTTGCTTTGTTCTGCAGAGGTGCCTGTGCAAGTCTATTTCTTGGGAACAAACAGCAGATGTGTTTTGCCACGGTTCTGGGTCTTACTCTGGCTTCTTTGCAGCTAAGAAATTGCTTTTCCAAAAGAGTATATGTAAGTAGTTAATCATTAAGGCCT